ATGAGTTTGTCTATGAGGTGAGTTTTGGAAGCATGTGAATGCCATACAGGGCGTTGGTTTTACCTTTTTTGTCTCACTCTCTTCACCTTGTATTTTTCTTCCAGCACAATACCGGCTGGTTTGGAGGAGGTCGAAAATGCCGTGTGGTTAATCAATCGGTGACGTTGCTCAGTACTCTTATACCTTTCCTCGGACCAGGAAGCGGTACGTGACACTTTTCTTTGAAAAGTGTTTATCTTTTAGGCTCAGTTATTCTGTTCCAGAGGAACTTGAACAAATTGCTTTGGACAAGTCGAGGAGCATATTATATTGTTTAGGGAAGAACGGTTCTATTCAGGTATGCAACAGTACCATGCTTTTCATTTGGTAAATGTTTGGCAGAAGTGTTATGTGGTGCACTTCGGCTTGGTGGGTGCACCAAATGAGGCTCAGTGAAGCCTGTACAGGCCATCTTGTGCAAACTTGTATTAACCTGTAACCACATGGGCTCACTTGTACCCATTCGAGATTTCACCGAAATGGCACTTATTAGTTAACGTAAACTCGCAAAAGGAATAGCGGAAGTGAAAAATGTCCCTCCCCACGCGGAACAGCGCCGTGTTATACTGCCGATATTTCAGGTATTTGATCTTGGAGTGGACGGTACTCAGTGCAGCAGGGTGTGTGTCGTTACGGCTGGGCAGATTGCCGTAAGTGTTAGAGTGTTATTATTGTGCTTTTTGAAAATCTGAATGTCTACTCTGATTAGATAAATAGATATTATGAAATTTTTATAGAGTGAAGCTCATTTAATGACCCAGTACGGTCATGAAGAGTCTACCTTTACCAACATCGCGACTATTTGCGCTCTCGAAGCCCATCAATCGAATCAGCTCAATTTGGTACGAGTTCTTCTCCATGCATTTCCAGCACTAACGTAATTCGGAGGAGCCGCGTGGCAGCGCGACTGTTCACGTCATCTGCGCTCTGCCAAAGCTGAGCATTCGTTAGAGGAAGCGATGTGGATGCCCCACCGCGTGGCTCCTCCGAATCATTTGAGTCGTATATTCAGCGCTGATAATCAAATATTAGTTCTCTTGTATAGATAGCGGTAACGGCGAAAGGGGTACGAATATACTTCTCTGTGCTAGCACGGAATGTGGCGAATTCCAACCAGCAAGGACAGTACCTGTCCCAAATGACCTATAAGGTGAGCCGTTTATTCTCCTTTTTTGGCAAGTGTAATGTGCTTGGTACGAGTAGTTTGACAGCTGGTCCTTTTTTATCGATTTGCCGCGGTCGGTAAAGCGGCTCTTACTCCTGTGCCTCCTGTTGCTCTAATTTGGAAACACTGAAAATACTTTTTATAGAGCCTTTCCCAGCAGGAAGTTCGGCCGCAGTGTCTTCGAGTAGCACATGTGAGGTTCTCACCAGGTGTAGCTCCAACGTCTATCTACCGTGACACTCCACAAGGAGTTTCAATCGCTTATGCCGACCAAAGTATAAATTTCAAACTATTCTCATAAAAGAAATGTTTGTTAACGATTGCTGGTAATTCAGGCATTTGTGTGATGGCAACGGCAAATCGCCAGCTGATTTGGGCGCTCTCTGATCTCTATCATCCACATAAAAATGTCTATTGTGAATCTATGGTAACAGTTTCTTTTCTCACTCCCTTTTATTCTCAGCGGTTTAAAAAAATATTTACCAGAATGATCTACAAGTCGCTGGTAATGTATGGGCTATAACTCCTGTTTCGGACAAGGTGAGTCCTGTGGAGAATTTAAATTCGCCTTGTTGCTAATGACTTTTGGACTGCGTTCATACTTTGCGACCGAGGAGATTCGGCGACCTGGAAGTCTCGGCGTATCCGGCGATTTAGCGCCAAAGGAGTGGGATTGATTGGCACCGGTTGCTAGCGATTGCGGAGATTCTGCGAATCGACGTTCCCTAAAACGCCGGATCGCTCAAGCTCTCAGATCTCAAGTGGGATCTTCGCAGTCGCTAGCGAACGGCACCAATTAATACCCATCCACTCCGTGGCGCGCATTCGCCGAGAACGCCGAGTCTCCCGAGAACCGAGACGGATCGCGCAGTCGCCAGATCGGTCTGTGCTTTCCTCAACACGGAATTTCTCAAATCGCCGAATTTCCTAAGTCGCCAGATCTCCTCAGTCGCGAAGCATGAATACGGTCTTGCTCCATTTGTCCTTCTTTTCTTAGTGTTCAGCTTATTTCTTCAGGCGCTTCATTATCAACCACCCGAGCCTGGCATGATTTCTAGAGTTCTACCTCACGCTTTCTACCGTCAGTCGATTGAGTTGAAGCAACGTCTGATTATTTGTTCAAACGAGGTTAGTCGTTCGTCATTTCTGTCGTTCTTTATGGTCAAGCAGAAGTCATTTTCAGGGAATTCATGAGTTTGATTATGTCACTCCGCGTGACGCGTTGCGTGAAGCACTATTCGACGGTGGGGCTGAGGGACGCGCTACAGTACAGTTATGGCAACAACTTGGCGCAACGGAAGTGCTCGTCCTGGCTCTTTCTGTGCTGACCAGCGAGTTAGCTGTGGATGAACGAATCAAGGAGAAGGTTATTGCTGCTTCTTGTTAGCCATCGTTAGAAGCCCACCTTATTTTACATGGATTCCTAATATTGCTCTGCCAGGCTTCTGCGATTGGGCACTCTAGGCCGCGTTCATACTTTTTGACTAAAGAGACTTGACAACT